ATACAAATCGGGAAAAATAAACGTTATATTTCCATTCGATTTCACTCTTAGAGTAAAGACTTCCTCTTTTTCTAACATTTTGTCCTCGCTCTTATTTTTCAAAAGGGGAAACTCGAGGACCCTACCACAGAAAACAAATAATAACAACGTTTTGTATGATTGTAAATAATGTAAAAAAATATTAAAAAATTAGTTTAAACAAATTTCTTTACACAATAAATATTCTTTCAGAATGAGGTCATTTTGACCGATTTTAGGCAATATAGATATATACAAAATTCACGTCTTTCTAGTGTTAAGTAGTTTATTGGTTTCAAATAAAAATATTTGTTTTATTGTTATATTTTATAATTACAAATATAACGATGTTACATATATTTTAAAATGAAACTTAAATGCATTCACAGGATATTTTTGGACACATGCAATACAAATGTTTCCATTGTTATCTGAAAAAAATTGTTGCAATAATTAAAATTTAGAAATAAGAATATTTTATTATGATTTTATTACTTACACTTTTCGTAGATAAAATTGATTATTTATTAGAATGCTTCCAGTTTTATTACAATTATGTTAAGAATTAATAATTTCGTAATTTCTATTGTTTTCTTTGTTCACTTCATTTGCACATTTTTTATTCTTTTTGCTAATAATTTTCCACCGACTTTAACAAATTTACGTCTTTGTTCGTGCATGACACAGACAAAACTGACAAATTTACACTCCGACATGTGACATGAAAAGAAAATTGAAACATTCCATTACCCTTTTATATCCTTTGGGAAACGAGTAGGTAACTAGTCTGCATTTTTGTCAATTAAAATTACACTCTCGTTACCTTTGGGATTTATTATATAATGTATCTGCTATAATAACTTTAATAATTTAACTTTTTGTTGAAATATATTCTTTTCTCTATTCTAAATCGATTCTCAATGTAATGCGTTCTCACTTTTCCCACTGGGAAGCCATCACCGTTATCGTACCACACACAACCCAACATAACAAATTACATCCAAATAGGATGAAACTTGTGCCGAAAAAACCTCAAAATACCGAATATTTGGGGACTACACCGAAATATGGACCAATATTGATATGGATTGATCTGATACCCAACGTGAATCCAAAATACTAAATTACAACTCATTCCGTTGAAGTGTCTAAAATCCTAAAAATTGGTCCAATATTAATCATTTTCGGTAGGAAGATTTGATACCCAATGAGAACCAAACGTAGCAAATTACAGTCAATTCGGTTGAAAAACGTATCACATGTGGGCTATGCCAAAACGTAGGCCGATATACACCATTTGCAATGCCAACCACCCTAGGAATAAAAACAATACCAGTGCAAAATTTCAATCCAATCCAAAAAATTTTGAAATTTCAATTATTTTTTCGTTCTATCAATTTTTTTTTCAAGAAGTTCTCTCAAGAATGGTACCTATTTCTTTGTTGTTTAGAGAGTAATTCGAGTTGAACGATGTACAAAAACGATTGTTCGTTCAGAAACTAGGTTATATCATAGGTTCGTTCGTTTAACCAATAGTTGTGGCTGTTTACTCGATATTTGGTAACAATTGTTACCAAATGTTGTCTGTTTACCCAAAAATCCAGTAGAAGAGAGTCAAGTGAGAGAGCAAGTTTGACAGTTGAACAACAACAAACTTACTGAAGTTTACTGAAAGAATTTTATGCAGTAAGATTTTGCAAACTCAGCCATTTTTGGATCAGCTGTTTTAATACCAAACACAAAAATGATTCAAAACATTTTTTTCTTGAATCAGGTGTTTATTTGCTAAATCTTACTAAATGTTGCAAAGGAAGAATGTTGCAAAGAAACTAATTCCTTATATTTTTAGGGAAGTTGCAGAAAGAGGGCAATGCATTGATGCAGGAAACTTAAATGTTTCCGGGGAACATACCAAATCAATTTTTCTTTTATTGCTCATTTTATTTTTCATATTAAATGCAATACAAATGCTCGTGCTCGTCCTTTTTTGTTGTTTATTGTGTTTTTTTTTTTTTTTTTTTTTGCGAAATCTTACTAAATGTTGTCTGTTTACTTTTCTCAGTACTATAGCAAAAGAGAGTAAACGACACTGAACTAGAACTTACTGAGTAAATGTTACTGGAAAAGTAACCAGACACACCTGTTGTCTGATTACTTTTCTCAGTATTATCGCAAAAGAGAGTAAAAACGGCATATTCTCTGAACTAGAACTTAATAGTTAATGTTACTGGAAAAGTAACCAGACACACCTAATATCTGATGACAATGCAAGGTGTGTCTGGTTAATTTTCCAGTAACATTTACTCAGTAAGTTTTAGTTCAGAGAGTAAGCCGTTTTTAATCTCTTTTGCGATTATACAGAAAAAAGTAAACAGACAACATTTAGTAAGATTTAGCAAATAAACACCTGATTCAAGAAAACAAATTATTTACGCCAAAATAAACAACAAACAAAGGACGAACACAAGTATTTGTATTGCATTTAATATGAAAAATAAAATGAGCAATAAAAGAAAAATTGATTTGGTATGTTCCCCGGAAACATTTAAGCTTCCTGCATCAATACATTGCCCTATTTCTGCAACTTCCCTAAAAATATAAGGAATTAGTTTCTAATTTAACCCTTTCAGTGTTTTTGTCGAATATATTCGACATTTAAAATTACTCTCTTCCTTTGCAATTTTTCGGTTATCCGATGTACCGTTACAATTGATGTCTTTGTTTTTGCTGAAAGGCAGACAAAACTGTCCAAGGGTTAAAATAAGAATTGCTTTTTTCTAAACTCTGTGCCTTCATATGATTTTATCTACAAAATTTTAGATTTTTATTCCGACAACATTTTTTTGACACTGAAAGGTTTAATGAAACTTTGCATTACATACGAATTTTCTTCCATTTTCTGAAATTTTCATACAATTAACTTCAATCACTTGCAAATTAAAAAAATGTTTTGAATAATTTTTGTGTTTGGAATTAAAACAGCTGATCCAAAAATGGCTGAGTTTGCAAAATCTTACTGCATAAAATTCTTTCAGTAAACTCCAGTAAGTTTGTTGTTGTTCAACTGTCAAACTTGCTCTCTCACTTGGCCCTCTTTTATTGGATTTTTTGGTAAACAGACAACATTTGGTAACAATTGCTACCAAATTTCGAGTAAACAGACAGAGTTACAATTTTTTACTACGATAACAATTTTTCCTTTATGATATCGGAAAAAATAGTAATAAATAAATTAGTAGATTCTTGCAGTACGGGAACAGACCATATGTTTACCCACGAAGCAAAGCTGAATGCTATCGGACGAGTCCACAAGGTTGCGGATAGTGGGAAACGCAATATAGTAATTGCGAAAAATCCTCTTCTCTAAAATCCAAAAGCGTATGTTCACGTATATGCGGGAGGGAACTAATTTCCAATTTAGATTAGGCGAGTTTACTTGCGGCAAGTCTTTGACTATAGGAGAGAGGGGCAAGGGGAATAGAAATGGAAAAAATTGCTCGTACCGACAATTTTCTGGCAATTCGTTTTGTGTATTTCGTATTTGTTGACATTTTATATTTATTTAAATGTGAAAAAACTATTTACATCAAATGAAAAAAGAAATACTTTCGAAACCGAATTGCCTTGTATAGACGCATGAAGCAAGTTCAAAAGGCAACGATAATAATTGCCGCAAGTATACTCGCCTAATATAAATCAGGACATAGACGAAGGGATAGATGCTGATGTAACCGTCATCAGCAATTACCTTCTGTAATTTTTCCATGTGTCAATTCTGTCAGTAAAACGTTGGCTACAGCCGACAAGCCATTACATCTAAACAGACGGCCACAGAGGGAAATAAAGCCCAGAGTGGGTATCCCAAAGACTCTTTGGAATCCTCGCTGTCGGCCCCTGTACACAAATGTGTTCAAATGTGAAGCGTGGATAGGAAGGCGTTTCGTAGGGAGCTTCCAGTCGACTGAGTTTCTACCTCACGTAGAGTGATTACCACTGCCGGGACCTCTACCAAGTCGACGATAAAGGAAACTCACAGTGTAGTATCAAAGCATCAAATATATGCCGCGAAGAAACAGTTCAACCTTTGGTCTCGCATGTTCCGGTAGTCGGACTGGAGTGACAATTCGACTCAGAAAGTGAGTTTAATGTAACTATGGGTGTATATTGTTTCATTCTGCATGTTACAAACATACTACTCAGCCGTTTCAATTAATCAATCAATATCCCATTGATTGTAGCACACTTTTTGGCATTTATTTATTTAATCATTATTGAACAACATATTAACACTAGAGTGTTTGTTATTAGAAAGTATGTATATTGAAATATTATTACTTATATCTTAATAATCATTATATACTTTAAAATAAAAAAATGAAAATATATTCTGTAAAGCTTTTTACATTTACAACACCATACTTATATCCGGTTTACTATATTTCAATTAATTTTCAAGCTATGTTCTAAATAGTAATAATTAATTAAATCTGGTCTTATAGATTTCCCTTTTAACAATACATACATCCTAAAATTAATACGTAATTAACTATAATGCAAACGTACATATTAAAACCATCCGGATATTGTTGATTTTTAACTTAAGTGAAATGTAAGTAGGATATAAAAGAAAAGCTCAGCTTGATGTATGTACAAAATCTAACATCTATGAAAAGAAAATTTTTCTAAATATCACCAAAATGCAAATGACAGTGGTGCGTGAATATGAATATAAAATACGTATATACTATTGACATATATGTATGTGTTTGATTGACATATGTACGTCCTATGGTTAGTATCGGGTAATCTCAACGTAAATGATGTGAAAATCATCATCGGAAATGTATATCTTCCAAAGCTATCAGCTTGCTACTATAAACACAAATTTGAATGTGAGTAGGAAACTGATTATGCTCAAATGTTGAAAGGTAATGGAATAACGAAAGATGTAACTGCTGTGTTTTAAGCAAAAGCAGAAAATACATAGAAAATTAATTAAGTGTCCCTCTGCAGCCTTGTGCACCACAGAGGCATGGTATTTTCTCGTCCTCCAAGGGGAATTTGTAATCATATGTTATCTCCTCATTTATGCCGATGGGTTGTTTTGAGTATATCACAATTTTCTTCTCGGATTCGATGGTGATGACTTTCGCATAACAATTGGGCTGTAAGACAAAATGGTATGAAATATTATGTGTTACGATAATATTGAAAAGTTATCTTACGTTGCAGCTGTGATTAATGAATCGTGCCAAGTTGCCACACTTTGTCGCATCGATAATGGTCTCCATATCTATACGGAACAAATATGAACTACCAATACCAATGGCTTCATACTTGGTTTCTCGTAGATCAGCAACAATAGGTCGAATCATCTGACCAACATATTCGATTACCATTTCATCGGCCGCAATCGGCTCCATAGCAAACAGGCCCCAGTCATGAATAGCTGACTTGGCAAATTTAAGCTGCTTCTTGCGGAACTTAAGCTGATTGAATTTGAGCAATTCTGATTCGCCAATAGATCCGAAAGCGGTAAGTAAACGACGTTGATTTGATCGTGCTTCTCGGGAAATGCCCTGCATTTTCGATACTTGTTTGTTATGTTGGCTTGCTAGTTGGTCGTCCGTTTTATCCCAGTTCTGTGCATTTTCCACATTGGCCTTGGCGTGGTGATATTTGTGTTTGGCTTTATCGCGTACGTCTAACTTATAGAAACCTTCCGTTCTGGCACAACCTGTTTTATGAATCTTTAGTTCGTCGTCTTTTTTGCGCTTTTTATTGGGGGGTGGTACAAAAGATCGGTCCGTGACGCAATGATCGACCCAGTGAGTGTTGTTTAACAAAAACCTGAAATTGTATAAATTAAATATTGCACGGTCTATAAAAGCAGTCTAACTTACCCATAGGTGTCTTCTTGTAGATGAATTTCGTAACAACGTCGGATATATTGTATGTCCTCAGCATCTATACCTCTTGTTAAAAATTCATACAATACCATCATTTCTTCGGTAGTTTCTCGAGGCTTGAACATTTCTCTTGGTTCAAATATGACCATGGCCTTATTAAGATTGTTATTGGCAAAATTGTCTGACTTTTGTTCAATCTTACTTAATGCCCGATCTTCTTTTTTCTTGTTTCGAACAGCATCCTTTCGTGGTCTACCTGGACCCGGCTTAGCCACAGGACCGACTTGCGAGCCAATTTGTGGTGACGAGCCTTCGCTCAACAAGCACGAGGACGTAGAGGGTGGCGTCGTATAACCACCGTGGTCATGAGCCAGATATTGTTGAGTTTTTCTTGCAGTCTCACCGGTCGATGTCATCTTTGGTTTTGTAATATCGGCCTGTGGAGGTAAGGAGTAGCAATGCTCAAGCGCCACCTGGCTGGCCTGACTAGCCTGGCTTGAACCTCCATCGGATGAAGCGGGCGACATTTTTATTTCTTCGTGTTCATCGTCGGCTTGACTAAAACATTTTGGTGGTATCAATGTTTCTTTTTCAAGTAGTTCTTCTGTCACTTCTTCGGAAGCATTGACACACACTGGAACCGGATCTAACTGATTTGTTTTCACGTTATTCTCATTCGAATAACCATTAGAATCGGCAGGAATAGCCAGTATGTTCTCAGAGCTTACTGGTAGATTCGAATAAATACAAATCTCTTTATTCCTCTCATTATTCGTAGCTTCGGTTATACTTTGGTCATTACTTGCTTTGGATTTAGCATCTTTCCTCGGTTTAATATCAATTGCTTTATTACTAGAAGCACTCTTCTCTTTTTTGCTTTTAACCGCAGGTTTATCTTTCTTTGATGTTGTGTTAGTGAATAGGGGCTCCTGAATTAGTTTTCCTCCAGGAGTGGGAGGTATTTTATTAATATCGGGTGTGTCTGGCATATCTAAAGACTTTTTGGATGTGACAGAAGGTCGCCGACTTGTTTCTGTAAGCGTGGTAGGTGCTTGTCCAGATTCTCTTACTTCCTTATTTTGCTCTTCCTCTGCCATTTTACGTTGCTGTTCTTCTAGGAACTCCCGTTCAATTTGAGCCATATATTCGGTATTACGTCGGCGTTTCTCTTGATATTCACGTTCTTCTTCAGAATCACTATATATGCGATCGTACTCGAAAACAGACTTCTTTTGTTCCTGGGCCTGTTTACCCTCCGACTTTATATTGTTTTCGACCTTTGAGATCTCGCTTCCTTGAGGTCCGCTATCGGCGATAACCTCCGAACTATTTCCCTTGGATTCATCAATCTCACATTTTATGTCATCTTTAGATTCTTGCACATCATCTTCTATACTAAACGAGGTATCTTTGCTTATATCTTCTAGATCCGAAACTAAAGCCTTTGAATCATCTTTCGGTATTTTTTCCACCCTACTATCCTTATCGTCATCTTCACTATCCGAGTATATCATACTTTTCGGTGCATTCAATTTATTTGCTAATGCTTTGTCTTTTTCTCGTTTAGTTTCTTTTTCATTAACATCCGAAATAGAACTCAAATCATCGTCACTTGCACTATCATCTCCATCACCAGAACTTTCATCTCGATCTTCATCCTCTTCATCTTCATTTTCTCCCTCACTTGATGACGAACTCGAAAAGAAACTGGACGAACTTCCCTTTCGCTTCGTACGGGCAACATTCGATTTGCTTTTGATGACCGAATCGTGGCGGCTTTTGGCTTCCTTTACTCTACTTACAATCTGTTGCAAAGTTCCTGAACTAAGGTTGGAATCCTCTTTCTCGGAATCCGAGCCTTGCACCATCTCTTCCTGATCACTCAAGCGTTTCTCCTCCTCAATTTTCTGAGATTTTGGACTATTTTGTTTGCGTATTCTGCGAAAGGACGGCAATTTGGGAATCGCAGCTCGTAAACCTAATGCAGGGTAATTGGAACTAAAGTCCGATATATCTCTATGAGTGTTTATCAACTGATTTATATCGGGTGGTTTATCTATACGCGTTGTCGTAGGTATGCTTGTTGATGTAAGAGTAGTGACTAGGGACGGTTTTTCAGTTATTTTCTCAGCTTCATTCTTGTGGCGACGATTTTTTTGCATTTGTTCGTCCCACCAAGTTTCGAAGTTCTTAAATGCTGTATTTTCGATCATCTTCTTATTGAAGTCCCTCTTTAGTATTTGTTTCAGCTCGTCGCTCACTTTTTTTACTACCTCTTCTATGGGCCGCTTATAGGGATCTCCTTCATATACTCCTGCGTGATTTCCTACATAATTGGTGTAGCCATCGGAACGATAAAATGATTTATACGCATCACCGTAGCCTTCACTATATGCACCGGTTGCGGACCCGAATGCCGACAAACCTGGACCGATTCCTGGTAAATACGACGATTGTATGTAAGCAGGATTAGGAAAGTACTGAGCAGTTGGAGGTGCGATATCTGTTGAAGGATATACAGGATAACCGTTTCCTGGATAATAGTAAGGATTTGTTGACGCATTTGTTGGATAAACATACGAAACAGCTGCTACAGCAGAATTACTGCCCACTGCTGAAAATACCACTGAACTATGATTGCCCTTTTCGTTACCATGTTTAGGATCTTCGTTTGAGGACAAACTTGATAGAGACATTCCATCTACCTCCTTTTTCTTATGTGCCGGCTCTATCGGGCTGTACGATCCTTTATTAAGAAGAATTTCGTCATCGCTTGACGATATGTCACTGGCCCCTTGTTGTATAACTCCAATCTTTTTAGATACATTTTGTGATTTACCCTCCGTTTTGTCCGCTTTGCTCGGGTGTTTTGTTGGTACTTTACCATTGGAGTCGGAGTGCACTTCTCCTTCATCGATATCAGTTCTTGTATCCCCGCCTCCTTTTTCTGCTTCTGAATCACTACTATCCATCTGAAGAAAAGGCGGTGCGTTGCCAAAGGATTTTCCTTTGAACATAAGGGCAATGCGGGTATCCAAATCCACTGTACCCGAATCATTGGCTAAATCCGATTTGCTTTCAGTCTCTAAAAATTTTCTTTCGGATGCAGACTCCTTCTTGTTTCGTTGTATCTGACCAGAATGACTGTTGTTCTCGTCGTTGCTCGAATATCCTCCTGGAGGTGGCGGTTCGGGTTCATCCCAATCGGGCGTGGCATCGGGCGGTGGAGGCGGCAGGGGAGGCTGTTGTTGAGGCAGATGTTGCTGGCTCGGCAATGTTGGCCATGTTCGAACACCGCCTCCATGCCAAATATGGGCAGATGTTTGATTATCTCCACTGTACCCATATGAATGATAATCATATGCTGCAGGTATGGCATTGGGCATTAAGTGGGAGGAAGAAGGTGGCAAAGAATTATTTTGGACAGGGTAGTACACAGCATTACTAGATGTTGCATAATGCGAGCTTGAAGCTGAAGTAGAATCGCCATAATCGCGTGCATATCTGGAGGAACCATATTTATCGGATGCTCGTATTTTGTCCGAACGATCTCTCTCATCTGACCGATCACGATCTCTTTCGCGATAATCGCGTTCACGATCTCGCCTATCTCTATCTCGTTCCCTTGACCGGTCGTAGTCTCTACTTCTTTCTTTGTCTCGATCTCGGTCCCGCCGCCCCCCACTTATTCGATCACGGCTGTGCTCCCTCGATCGATCCCGCCTACTGCTATAGTGATGATGATGTTGGGATCTGTCTTTGTCATACCTCGACACCGTATATTTGTCCCTGCTATCACCCCTCTGTCCACGCTTATCTCGATAAGGTCTTTCATCATCGTATCGGTCCCGATTGTGAGAATATCTCTCATAATCCCGTTCCGGTCGATACGAATGCTTATATCCAACATCGTAACCATCATGCGGAACATATTCTTGGTTATGATGATCAATATATCCACTTGTAAGGGCTGCCTGAGCCACATCGGCAACATGTGTTTCTGTAATTGCTGATGGTGGCGGTGCTTTGGGTTTAGTAGAAGTCAAATCATCAATGGTTTGCTTGCAAACATTGCCAAAAGGATCATGGAACACACTAATAATCTGATAAAAAAAATATAATATAATATTTAATAGCGGACTTAATGGCAAACAACACTATATTCACCTTTCCCATCACAGATTTCTGGTCGTATTTCTCAACACATAATCGCGCTGCCTTTACATTTTCAAAGACAATGCGGGCCACTCCAAGATGTTTATTTGTTGTAGGATGATGGTATATAGTTATATCATCGTATTGCCCACATTTTTCCAACATTCTGGAGAGAAACTGTTTATCGATGTTGTCATTGAGATTAGTTATGGTCACTTCAATAGCTGGAGGATTGCCGACATAATTTTCATCAATCTTTAATCTGAAAGAAAAATAATAAAAGTTAATAAACCGGTGAATATCACAAAAACAAATATTCATCCATACCTTGGAACGGTCAACACCATTGGTTCTACTGGCCTGGCTCTGAGACGAACTACCGGATTCCGAGGATCTCTCGGCATAACCGGTGGATATGTGGGGTCGTTTGGAACCACTCCATCGAAACGATACAATTTTAAAGCACCTTTTGTCAAAGCCGGATCAGAAAGGAGTTTAAAGTTTCGCGGCACCTTTTGGGAGTTTGCACCACCACACGTCTGCTGATCCCCAGCACTAACAGCGCCATTACTTGTTGGATGTGTGGGTGGCATTCGCGTATAGCTGCTGTCCATTCGATCATACATTCACGGTGCAGACTGCCTAGCTATACTTTGTAAATTTTATGAAAATCTGAAACGATACAACAATTATCCAATCAAAAACCAAATCCAAATCTGAAACAATCAGTTTAAGTTACCTGAGGCCTAAGCACTTTTTCAGTTTTCTATTTCAATATCCCAACGTGAACGGCACAGAAGAGATTATTCTCAAACCATTTCTGTGTGGTTCCTCTTGTCGACAATATTTTTATACAATACACGGTGAGACCAATCTACAACTGGCGCGCTCGGCAGCGCAGCACGACAGACAATAACTTGCTTTGCTTGTTTCCTATTCTATATGGAAGTAAGAAAATTCCAAGTTTTTTAACAAAGGATTATTTCTTACTGACATATTCCATTGTACGGAGATGGCGTATACTATTTAATAGTGTTTTCTCCACAAGAACGATGTGAATTTTCCCGTTTTTTCGTAAATGACCATAAAATTACAGCGAAAAGAAATCCAAGTTCTCCGTCGCAGCACGAAAAAAATGTTAGCAAGATTTCTGACAGCAGCGCTGCGTGTGAAAGAAACAGAAACACAAAGATAATGCTATGTCAACGAAATAACCAAGTGATTAACCGCGTACTTGGTAGCCATTCCCATTGATGGTAATGCCGTTCAATAACAGTGTTGGTTTTAAGAAAAACTGACAATTGAAGAGTGTTTTTATTGCCATTCCATATTTATTATATGTAAAGCGCATTTAGACTACATATTCTAAATCATGTCGATTTGAAAATCGACGTAATAAATCTCTGCTTAGACAAGTATTAAAATTATAGAAAGTTGTCAGTCAGCTGATATCTTTTTAGGTATAGCCATGGTACTATTATACAAGGTAGGGTATCTTTTGTCAACCTCTACGTTGTGGGCTATAATGTCAGAATAAATAAAAAGAAATACAACAAATCGTTCTGAATGAAAAGTCAGGTTTTCCTTTCAAAATCGAGTTCGGAATATGATTTAGATAATTACAAAGTGGCATGCTTTATATCAGAATTCATATTTTGTATATGTGTGTGTATTGTTTTGATACCATCCCAGTAGTTCGAGTAACTAGTTATGAACTAGATATTTTACTAATTACCTGTAACTACCACTAGTTACCACTTCATACCCTAGACTGGTGAATTTAACATGGCAATTTCGGTAACCAGCAATTTCGGTAGATACCATTGTTTAGTATTATTCCTAGTTACATATATATATATATATATAGCAAATTAGCTATTATAACAGTTGGGAAAATTGAAAATATAAAAGTTATTTTGGATACATATTTTTTTATTTAATTCATAATTATGTTGCATAATATTATTTTCAACATAATAATATCTGATTTTTCACACCGCCATTTCTTTTGTCTCTCGACTGTTTTTCGCATCTGTCCTCTACGAAATATTGAAGCATCTGAAATAGAAAATTAAAAAATATAACTAAAGATATGGGTCTCTTAAGTAGAAGTTTTTGGAGAATATTTACCTATGTATTTCAAACTTTTATTTGTTCCCCCAATCTGTTAGATGATTTTGAATTGACATCTATTAAAAATCTGTAGAATAATTTTGTTGAAAAAAATTACGTATGTGTTTATTGTGTCGCAAAACCAGAACTTACCATAAATTCAACATATGCATTTTAGATTCTTAAAATTTTTATTTAAGGGAACCCCACCCATTCTCGATTTTAATTTTTCAAGATTTTCAATGGGCTGGTAAAACAATATCAATGCTTGTTAAGGTTTCTAACTTTGCACATATATATCTGAAGATTTAAAAGAGAAGAAAAATAATTTACAAACTATTTTTGTTATTGATTTGTTGTTGTTTTTTGTAATTAAAAAAAATCCTTATTTTTGATGGCGGGCATGATAACTCCTCACTGGAACATCGGAATCCGAAAATTCCAACGGTGTTAGAAAGAGTACATGTCTGGCTCTCGTGTGAACTAGGATTATTGACTTCGCTCTAAAATTAACAAAATGGCGGACCTTTGAAAAAATATTTTTGGAAAATCGCCAATTTTTGACCAAAAACCAAGTTAAAAAATAAGGAAGATCTTCACCGATTGGCGTTATCCTAGTTCATACGATAGCTATACACTCACAGAGAAACGTGTAAAAATTTGAAATCGATTGGGTTATTAGTTTTTGAGTTATCGTGCCCGCCATTCGCAAAAGAGAAAAACGCGTTTAAAGTTTGAGAAGCCCTTTAGCCGTCACTTGATGCTGACACAATAAAACGGCTATATCTTCAAGAGTTCTTGCGATTTTCACTTGAAATTTTGTAGAGACATTCTTGAATTAGTGTAGAATCGAATTAAATCAAAAAAATTTTGACCCCGAGAGTGGGGGGGTCCCCTTAAACGGCACTTCATCTTCAACATCGTTAATATTGATTGCTTATATTTTTGTATAAAACACACATTTTTATTAAACATTTGCTTTCACAATTCAAAAAATTATAAAGTCTGAAGAAAATGACAATTGTTTTTTCTGTATAAGCAGACACAAGGCCTATATAAGGTCGGCCAGTAAACACAGGTGAGTATAAAGTTTCTTGTCAAATCATATTTTGAAACCTATACATATTGTCTTTGCGAAGCACATCTTGACTATTTCAAAAGTTTAAAGAAGATTTTCAAGTAAATTATCCTACAAATTATAGATTGTGTTGTGTTTTGGCTGTGTTTTTCATTTAAAGGCGAAACAATTAGTTTTCGCCTCGGCAAAAAAAATTTACGTTAAACTTAAGTTTTCTCTACGAATTCGCTTACTGGCCGACCTTATATAGGCCTTGAGCAGACATAAGCAGACAATTGATACTTATTGAACATCTGGGATGTGAAATAAATTCAAATTAAATTAAAAATATTAAATTTTAATAGAAATGAAAATGGTGTTTTACCGCTTTCATCTGGAAACAATTACTTTGTTATGAATGAAACAAATACTTCATGGTATTCCCTACCGGATTGTGGATTTCAAGCCAATTCGGGTGATACAGATTCCCAATATGGGAATGGACTGAAATTCATCATTTCATAGAAGATTTTCTACCCAGTGATAAAAACGTGCTCAAAAACTTATTTTCTACTCAATGAGAATCCCTTATATCAAATAAGAATAAAGAATTTTGAGGGGTACCGTTATATGGGACTACTACTAATTTTCAAAGCTCTATCTTAAATATTGCAAGCTCTATCTTGTTTTCAACAGACAGACGGACATAAATAAATCAACTTAAAAATTACATTTTTTCTTGTTTTGGCTTGTAGTGTCAAAACCATATACAAAAAATGTGTCCGTAGCGAAGAAATTATAATGTGTGGGGCGAATCAGAATCAAAAAATTGTTTTTTAATTTTTCCATTATTTTTCACCTTTATAGTATAATGTAAAAAATGTGTCAAATGCACACAGCGTTTGTATTTATCTATTTTGACATAAAAAGCTTCATGGTAGAGGTGTATCTTTTTTATAAAAGCTAAGCTAACATTTACATTGTACCGGATTTTGTTAACCAATAAGTTTAAATGATCAATTCCATTGCATATATCAAATAAATTTTCATGAATTAGGCTAACCTGGTAACAAGTTCTAATGTACATGACGTTTAAGTTATACCAAAAATCAACTATGTATGTGGTGACTTCTTCTGTCAGAATATAAAATAAATATACGCATTTATTCGACATCGTATTCAAAACAATGCCCACACATACACAAAATATGTATTTTGATGTGATGGAACAAGCCACCTTGAGAAAACATTTTAATCAGTTACTAGCTGTACCCTACCTTGTAATAATTAATTATACCATGTTCCCAAATCGATTTTGAAAAAAAATCCTGACATTCCATTCATTTTTCAAATTTTTAGTAAAATGTATAAAATATGTCACATGAACAGAACAAATTGTTGTATTTGTTTTTATTTATTCTGACATTATAGCCCACAAGGTAGAGGTGTATTTTCTTATATCAAATAAGAATAACATACCCTACCTTGTATAGTTGTAGCATGATATGTACCATAACATGGTATAATTATACAAGGCAGTCCCATATGTTTCCAACTTTTTCATAAATGTTCTTTTGATAACATTCAGCATAAATGAAAATTCCTTCGAAATCATGGTATAATAATAGAAGGTAACAGCAAGTGTTGTTGTACAACAAACAATACAACAACCACATGGAATTTTGTTGTTGTAAGTTATACTAGTGTCAATGTCATTTGACAGAATAATGTAAATAAACAAACAAATTATATTTATTTTGAAAATGAATATTTTCGAATTCTCAAAATAAAATTTGAAAAACATGAATAAAAATCTATCAAATTTATATTTCTATCGCTCCCACATCTTTCCTATAATTGAGCCATTGCCACTTATATGGGTAACACATATGAAAATGCAGGGAATTGTGCGTTATTCCATGAAGAAAGATTTGCTTCCTTAAACTTTCCCAGCAGGCAGATTGAGTAAATTGAATACGGGAGCATATTTAAAAAGAACAATTTCAAATTGTATGCGTTCCCAATTTTCGTGTTGGGTGATTTTTAAAAACATAATTTGTCAAATTCATATTGACACTAGTATAACATTGGACTCAAATCAGCTGGGATTTGCTGTTACCTTTTATAATTGTACCATGCTTCGAAATGTACCCACAGCACGTGTTTAGTGGCAAAAATTGCTAAGTCTGCTTTTACACAGGCAGATTTTTATTTGGCAAATTTTTTATTTTCTCTTTTGAAATTTTCGCTTGCTTTTCCATTAGCAAATTTTTCTTTGCCAAATTTGCGAATCAAAATACAAAAGAAAGAAAATAAAAGTCAAAAGTGTTTGCATTTTAAAGATTTTTTTTAAATATTTTATTTATTTTTTATATATTTTATTATATAAACTGCAAAAATTAAAAATTAAATTTCAGTTGCACAAATTAAAGCAACAGGTTTGTAAACAAAAAAATATGTTCAAAAGGAAATGTCAACAAAATTGTTTTCAACGAACAGAGCAAAGCAGAATTTGCGTGTACGGCAAATTCTGAACAGGCAAATTTTTGTTTTCCTCTCGCCTACAAACTCAGTATTTGCCAAATAAAAATTTGCCTGTGGAAAAGCAGATTAAATAATTTATACTTATTTATATTTTGAATTTCCAAAAATTAAATTTGACACCGTTATACAAAATTAGTTACAATTTAACTTGTCACACCTGAATATGTGTTTCCTTCTCAAGAGAACGTTTTTTAGAAAATATTTCAAAAGTAGTATAATGTAGTACTATTTCTATTTTGCAAGTTTGGCAACACAACAGTTATCATATAAATACACCGACTTATAAAACCCAAAAGAAGTTATTTTTCCATCTCCAGTACCCTTATATCTGTTATTTTTCGACCTGTAGGACTCTAATTAGTTAACTCAAACCCAAAAACAATGGCTGACCGACTTACCCAGCTCCAGGATACTGTAAACATGGTAGGCGAAATAAGGTCTAAATCAGAACATTCTTAATACTTTTGTTTTTTAGCAAGCAGAGCATTTCTGCAATGCTATAGGAATAATACAACAAACTTCCTATCCAAGTAAATTTCCTAATTTTGATCGGACAGGCTCACAGACACCGGTACAAAATTCCCAACAAGAAGACTACGCTCAATTATTTGCACAACTCATTTCCCGCTGTGCCAAAGACATCGATACGCTGATAGAATCATTGCCTAATGATGACAGTTCTATTGAAATGCAAAATCAAAGTTTGAAACGGCTTGAAGTTGAAAATCAGGAAGCCGCTGAACGATTGGAGGAGATAGTTGATAAAGGCGAGCTTTTGTTAGAAAAAATACAATCTGCTTTGGAAGATATTGCACAAGCACAACTGGATATGCAAATTACAATGAAAGATAATTCCAATATTAATAAATAGTAAAATACAGATTGCAAAATGAAACATCTTGCTATATATGTGGCAACAAATTGGCAAAAGTCTGACCCTTGCGTGAATGGTAAAATTATACAAGGTAACTGCAAAAACCAGCTGATTTAATTCCAACGTAATACCTGTGTCAATTTCGATATTACAAATTATGTAATGTTTTTCAATTAAATTCAATTTATTTTCGTATACGAGAAACCAGCCTAAAGCGTCATTAGCGATTCCAATAACTACTCCAAAGTCTTAATGTGGTAATGCATTTGCTTAACAGTGTCGTAACATATATTTAAATTGTACTTAAAGTACAAAAGTCTGATTAATTTTTAATTACTGTACCCTAGCCGTTAGGGCCAAGTACTACGATAGTATAAAATAAGTACGTCTTAACTTCTAATTGTTCCTTATTTCAAATTTAATCAGAATTATGTTCTTTGCACAGATTTAATTCGGCTAAATTAAATCATAACAATGACAAAAAAAGGAAATGTTTATTTGATGTTACTACATCCTTACATTTGGAAGATGTAATACATAATTTTTTACGAAAACTGAGGTCCAATATCAAGAAAGGCGTATGCAATATTTATAAAAAAATTCAGTAGTGTTGGCGGTTTATTTGGGATACCATTTGTATTTTGTTTTTGCAAAATAGTCAGGATGAATCCCAGTTTGTTGTTTTACAAAAAAAACCTTGAAATTGTTTTTGTTAAAAACTTTTTTCAAAAATTAGCAGCAAGGCCTGACGATGGAAAACACGTATAAAAATAAACATACAAAAATATTTCAGGTCTATTTCAATATATATTTGAGGGCAAAAATATGTAAAATACCAATTTGTGTGTACAGTTCAAATTATTTTGGGGATAGAATGAAACAGAAAGAATCAAGGATGTTATGGAGCTTTTTGACATGTTAGACATTGATTCTAATCCGCAAATAAGGTGAAAATGTATAACACAATAGACTGAGGTGCAGACGTTAACCGAGTAAGACTCGGGTCGTTTCGGACGTAGACCGACCCCTCTGTCGTAAAAAACGTAAAAAAAATTTGGCATATATTCTGGTGTTTGGCGAACTACGCGGATATAGCGAACTTTTTTATAACGAACTATTATTTCGGTCTCAACTTTTTCGGGATTGTGAAGATACATTAATTATCTTTTTTATTAAAATCGTTATAGTGAAAATAAATACTTTTTTATTTATCACTAAATTAATAGAAAATTATTCCTATTAAAAAACCTTGATAATCCGGATAATTTGGCATTCTGGATTGGGGTCGACAATTAATTGTCCGGACCAGCGAGATTTTACAAAGAATGCCAGTTTTCTTGCTGGTTTTTATACCCTTCACCACACTGTGGTACAGGGTATTATGTCTTTGTGCATATGTTTGTAACAGGCAAAAGGAAACGAGATAGACACATGGTTCCTTTTGAGAATATGCATAGAATCACTTTCTAAGTCGATTTATGCATGTCCGTCTGTCTGTCCATGTTAAATTGTAAACAAAGTACAGGTCGCATTTATGATCCGAATTGGATGAAATTTGGCATAGGTCACTTATTCGGCCCAAGGATGAACCCTATTGAAATTGGGAAAAATCGATCCAGATTTAGATATAGCTCACATATATATATTTTACCGATTTAATGTAAACGACCCCTATATAACTTTCAACACGAAATTTGGTACATCCTAATCATTTAGGTCTAGAATGATGTCTGCCAAGTTTCGTGAAAATCGGTCCAGATTTAGATATAGCTCCCATATATAGTTTTGTCCGATTTCATGTAAATGGTGCCCCAAAGTCCCTATATATGTTTTGATTTGCACGAAATTTGGCATAACGTACTGAATTAAGCCTAGAGTGATGTCTGCCAAGTTTCGAGAAATCGGTCCAGATTTAGATATAGCTCCCATATATAGTTTCGTCCGATTTCATGTAAATGGTGCCCCCAAGTCCCTATATATCTTTCGATTTGCAAGAAATTTGGCATAACGTACTGAATTGAGCCTAGAGTGATGTCTGCCTAGTTTCGAGAAAATCGGTCCAGACTTAGATATAGCTCCCATATATAGTTTCGTCCGATTTCATGTAAATTGTGCACCAAAGTCCATATATATCCTTCGATTTGCACGAAATTTGGTACAGCCTAATCATTTAGGTCTAGAATGATGTCTGCCAAGTTTCGTGAACATCGGTCCAGATTTAGATATAGCTCCCATATATAGTTTCGTCTAGTTTCATGTAAATGGTGCCCAAAAGTCCCTATATATCTTTCGATTTGCACGAAATTTGGCATATCGTACTGAATTGAGTCTAGAATGATGTCTGCCAAGTTTCGAGAAAATAGGTCAAGAATTAGATATAGCTCCCATATATAGTTTCGTCCGATTTCAATGGTGCACCAAAGTCCCTATATATCCTTCGATTTGCACGAAATTTGGCGTAACGTATTTAATTGAGCATAGAATTATGTAGGGGAGACTGGGGCACCTTCGGCATCGGGGCACCTTCGGCAATCGCGTTTTCGATATGAAGCTCTCACCGTACATCACTAGTTTCGATACATAGGTATCGAATATCGAAATAAATAACTTACACAAAGTTTGAAATTTCTAGCTAATAAGCTTATTTAGATACATAGGTTTTTGTATTTTTATGGATGTTTCTGTAATATTTCAATTCCATTTCGTAAGCATTTCGTGTATAAAACTTTTTAAATTTTTAAGACAATATTATTAAAAAGTGGTTAACTACGATGTGTATTATTATAGAAATATTTAAAAATATAATATTTTTACAAAACTGATCGAAAAAAATGAAAAAACTACAAAAAGTACATTCGGGGCACATTCGGCATTTTAAATTGGGGCACATTCGGCCATATACAGGTTGTGCAATATTATTTCCTTAAAATGTTTTTGAGTTTTTCTTTAAAACTAATCCTTTAATATGGCTCGAAATTGCATATAAAAGATCAAACGTGTTTATATTGACGAAAATGCGATAGAAAACCCCTATTTCTGATGGTGTGTGCGACCTTGAGATGTAAACGTCCGCCGCTAGAAAATAAAGCCCTATAATTCAAACATTGTGTGGCGTATTAAAACCAAATAGAGCCTTTAGATAATCAGAATTTCAACCAGACTGATAGCGATGACAATTACCCGGCTATGACTATGGTGCCGAATGTGCCCCATCAAATGCCGAAGCTACCCCGGGTTGGGGCACATTCGGCGAATTTGACTTTTTTTACAAAACTGTAAAATTTTTTAACTAATACTATTTTTATATATCTTTTTGGTACTATTTTTCATAATTAAGTGTCAGAGGACAATAATCAGCCATAAAGTTGTTATATATGTTGAATATGTACTGAGATATAGAGCTCTAAAAAAAGTGCCGAAGGTGCCCCAGTCTCCCCTATGCCAAGTTTCATGAAAATCGGTCCTGATTTAGATATAGCTCCCATATATAGTATCGTCCGATTTCATGTAAATGGTGCACCAAAGTCCCTGTATATCCTTTGATTTGCACGAAATTTTTCATGACGTACTGAATTGAGCCTAGAGTGATGGCTGTCTTGTTTCGTGAAAATGGGTCCAGATTTAGATATAGCTCCCTTTTATTATAGATTGATTTCAAGTAAATTGGCCATCATACTCCTCATGTTAGTCAGATTGACATAAAATTTTGCACAACGTACGTACAAAATTGAGCATAGAATTACGTAGTTGCGTTTTCTAGAAGTACAGACATAGCCCAACGGATGACCTATTTATATTTGTTTGAAGTCGATTTACATACTTTATGGATAGATCTAGGTAGATTCACATTTAGATAAATATCACATATTTTATTTCATCCACTTTCATGTTAATAGTCTTGTTTAATATACCCATAGTGGTGAAGGGTATCATATAGTCGGCCCCGTCCGACTTTACTACTTTCCTTACTGGTTTATGAATGATATTCCACATCTAATTTATGATAATTTAGTTTGTTTACCTTGTATGTAATGAATAGACCTCGGATTTTTGCATATTTTTTGGACTCAAATTTTGTATTTAGGCGTTTCATGCTTTAAATGATCGATATTTGGGGTCATGTAAAAAATATGCAAAAAATATGCAAAATATATGCAAAAAATATGCAAAAAATATGCAAAATATGCAAAACATATGCAAAATATGCAAAAAATATGCAAAATATGCAAAAAATATGCAAAATATGCAAAAATATGCAAAATATGCAAAAAATATGCACGGTATGCTAGGTCGATATGCGATAAATATATGCAAAAAATATACAAAATATGCATTGTCGATATGCAAAATATGCAAAAATATGCAAAATATGCAAATATGCAAAAAATTAAAAAATATGAACCCTTCAAATAATTCTAAATCCTTTGAAACGAATTTGTGTCCAATCAGAATTTCGATATCTTCATTATTAAAAAATATGCAAAATCCGAGGTCTAGTAATGAACTACTTCTATATAACTAACTGGCTTGGTCCCTACTTGACTGTATAATGTAACTAAGTGCTGACATTTTGTTAAGTGTAGCACTGTGTCAATTATATTTACAACAAAATGTAAATAAAATTTTAAAATTAATAAAAAAATCTGCATAAAACGACCATCAAAATTGAAGGGATTATTTGTGCTGAAAAAAATAAAATTCCCATGTGTAGTCTGTAACAACACTAGCTATTGCCTTGTATTATTATACCATAAAGCCACAGTAAGATCAATAATGTAATTTGTAAATTACTATAGCCTACCATACATGTATTATTTATTGTACCATGGGTTAACTTTATAAGTAAACCTTGGCTTTGCGTCAATGCGATAACTTGAATCAGCTTATTCAAAATACGAAACTTCTAGATCTCATATAGAATATATGTTATTCATTAAAGTTGCAGGTTGAAGCATTGAAACATCATTAAATCCTAAACTACAAATAAACAAACTAATATCGTACCCAATCGGATATGATTAGTTTTTAGTTCCACATTAAATGTTAACAAATGTTAAATCACTTTTCAATTCATTTTTATTGCCAAACGTATTCAATAGGTTCGACTCATTTGGCCAATTTAAATTTAGGCTAAATAACAATAGTTGCTAGATGATTTAAACACTTTATGCTTTCCTTTTTCACTTCACTTGAGCTTGGAGAAGAGGCTGTGGGCTACGCAATGATCAAGCTCTTGTACGTAATCAAAAAGTTCTTCCATGCAGTTTTCAGTTGTTTTGGTTCTGCTGTTCACGCGATCATTACAAGCTTGGTACTTATTGTAAAGAGCCTCAATATTTCCCTTGGTTTGGCATTGTTCCTGCAAATGAAATATTTTTATTTGGAAACTTTGTACAAATGTAGATTTTACAACTTCCATACCCGTAGTGTTGTCTGGGGATCGACCAAATCAGCTTCCTCTTCTTCTTCTGCCCTTACAGAAGGCATAGAAATCAACGAATTCCACAAATTTCTGAATGCCATTGTTTCTAAAATAAATGCAAATTTAATTATTTAAGCAAAGGTTATAATATATTTCATTGAATTCTTACCCAAAATCTGTGATGCAACCACCAACTTTTGGCAAATATTTAATGAAGTTGGATGTAGTTTAAGAAAATGTCAAAACACACACTAAAAATGAAACGTGAGTTTCGGCATTTTGACAGCGTAAGACGTATGGCGATTGCAACTTTATAAACGTTTCAAGTGTTCTACATCTTAAACGTTAAATATTTAATAATATGTATACTATTTCATGACATAATTCCAAAAGGTAGTCTAATTTGAGAATTTTATGATGGCAACACTTTTTAATTTGGAACTCATCTATCAATTTCAAATAATATGTGTGTCGATTGGCATATTTTCAATAATTTTTTTTTCGACGTTCCCACGCCTCTCATTCCCATCCCTGCCGACCGAGGGGGCGACCTTCCCTTACGTAGGGATCGCGTACACACCATGATCCGAATCATGATGGGATTTGAGAGTGGAATAGAAAAACCAGCTACAGAATCTACTTCCACAGCCAGTTTGTTATTAGGTTTTACTACTCATTTAAAAATAAAATAATATTAGATTTTATTTGTTAAAGTCAATACACATTTTACTAAGAGGATCTCCCATAGAGTAATTCGTGCGGTGGAAGTCTACATATAACAGTTGATAGTGTCTACTAGATCGGACAGGAACATTTATTCTAATAGAATAAATTAGGAAATGAGTAGCTTATCCAATGTAATCCTCTCAGTGCAAAATGTAAAAATTGTTTCTGCACGGATTCGATTTTATCGGAATATATTGCATATTGGGGATCCCATACAACAGAACCATATTCTAAAATAGGTCTAACAAGAGACGTAAATAGTTGTTTCGTTATATATGGATACGAGAATTCTTTGGCCCACCGTTTTATAAATCCTAAGACACCATAGGCTTTATTTACCATAGATATAACATGATTGTTAAAATTTAATTTTGGATCCATTAGAATACCAAGATCAACGAAAGAATCTACAGTTGATAAAACCGAACCATTAATATAGTAATGTCTTATCGAGAAAGAACTTCTAGAGAAACACATATGTTTACATTTATTTAAATTCAAGTCCATACAATTTAGGCTGCACCATTGAAATACGTTATTTAAATCATGCTGGAGTAAATCAGCTTGCTTTTCAGAATGATGGGTAATGAACAACTTGACATCGTCTGCATACATTAACAGTTTGGAATGCGATACAGAATTTGGCAAATCATTTACAAACAATAGAAACAGAATCGGGCCTAGGTGACTTCCTTGCGGAACACCTGATGGAACATTAATCGATTTTGAAAGACATCCCTCAAACAAAACTAGCTGTGTCCTATTTTGTAAGTAAGATGAAATCCAATTTACCAAATTTATACTAAAGCCAATATGATTTAATTTATATATATCAGTTTGTTTACGCTGAACAAATCCCTTTATCACAATAGAAGTAACGTGTATAAGATTGGTAATAGTTGAAAGACCACTACGAAAACCATGTTGATATGGACTTAACAAGGGTTGAATTATGTGTGAAATAACGGTAGTAATTAACTTTTCGAACAATTTTGGAATAGCACTTAATTTTTCAACTCTTCTATAATTCGAGACATTTGTTAGACTACCAGACTTGTGCAAGGGTATTATATAAGACTTCTTCCAACAAGTAGGAACATAACCATATTTAAGGGAATAATTAAAACAAAATATATTTTCTAAAGTTGAACTTTGCTCTCAAGATTTAATAATTTTTGCAATTTTTGTCACTGACCATATGATATGTACATTTCGAAGGAAGATATTTTCATTTAAATTTTGAATGCTGTCAAGGGCAAATTTATGAAAAAAATTGGTAACATATGATTTTTAATTATTCCAGTACCCAAAATATTAAGTCAAAATTTCTATTTCATTTCTGAGAATCTAGTCTAAAGAACCATGGGCGTAAAATTAGCAATGAACTCACGAGCAATTTATATATAAAGATATCTAACCAAAATGACGTTCCCTTTCTTAAAAATAATAAAAAATCAATTGGGTTATGTCAACATATTTTGCAAAAAACGAACCGATTCTTAAGATTTTTTATACAAATTCATTCAGAAATTTTAATAAAAATATTGCTTCAAAATTTAGGATTTTCATTAATATTTAATTTTCATTTTTAATATTTTGGTTTTTACAACACAACAAGAAAAACATTTTTGACATTTATTTGTACCAACAGCTGGGCTGATGCGACTACCTTATTAAATCTGCCTTGATGACTGTCTATAGTTGTCTTTTTCTAGCATGTACTGTGTTGTAGACTTACTTTTTTACTTTTGTTTGTTTGATTTTCGATTCGATTGGAGAAAATATATTAAATTAAATTTATGAAAAATTAAGAATTAAAATAGTTTTCTTATAGCTTAATCTTAGAAGTAGATGTGTGCAATAAATATTTTGTAAATGTTTCGCGTATGTCCTGTACGAATTGTGTGGATGGTGATACTGAAGAACCTATAACTTCTTATTAAGGGAATAAAGCAAGTTCACAAGAGATTCATAGCTTTCACCGAAAATTATGATGAAAAATACATTCAAGCCACATAAACAAATATGGAGATATATACCACCGATTATTTTGATCTTTATTGGTCTTCAACTTTTAGGTAAGACGTTTCTCTGAGTATGTCTGGAAGTCATACCCATGTATACGTACAGTAAGCTGATTTGTAGAAAGGCATTGCAGTCGCTGTTTCCATTATTGTAATCAGCCTTGAATATCTTACATATTGAATTTTAGGGTTAAGATTTTTTCAATTTATTTTATAGTTAATAATTCAGATAATATTGAAATCATACGAAAATCTGCCTACCATATTTTTTTGGAGACCCCGCCCATTCTCAGTTTTAAAAAAATTTAATTTTGTTTTTTTTTTTTTGCTTTGATTCAATCCCACACTAATTCAAGAATGTCTCTATAAAATTTCAATTGAAAATCTCAGTGCTTCTCAAATTTTTACGAATTGTGGGCACGATAACTCGAAAACTAATAATCCAATCGCTTCTCTGTGAGTGTATAGATATCGTATGAACTTGGATAAATCCAATCGGTTAAGTTCTTCTTTATTTTTCAGTTTGAATTTTGGTCGGAAAAAGGCGATGTACCAAATCTAATTGCCAGATTTTTAGCGATGTAAATAATACTAGTTCATTTTTGCACTCCAAAAATCATTTCAAACTTAACTTAACTAATTAGGTATTTCCTGCAAAAATAAAAGTTATAAAGTTCCGTAAAATGTTACTGGTGGGGCAACTTTGAATATGCTTAGTAAACTTCATTAAAATAGAGGTTTTTAACTTATGACTTACATTTCTCAAAATTTTAAATGATGATGTCGATTTATGTTTTTAGAAATTTTGATCCGTTCCTGACTTCGTCCATTAAAACAGTAATAAAATATTTATATCAAAATTAAAGGATGTCAAATGTGAATTCATTGTAAAGGGCACCATACACTATAAATCATGCCGTCATGCCGATGAACCTCACATATACACAAAGGTATATGTGAGATTGACTAGTGTATGGCAAACTCTTCAATCACTATTCCCAAAAATCGATTTTTGTCCCAAAAATTGCATTTTGAGTCGTAAATTCAGTTGTTTTTTTATTCCATCACAAATCTATTATTTTTGTACACAAAATTATTTACTGACAACTTTCAAATTTAATATTATTTACCAGATTTTCAAAATCAAAACTATTTTGATTTTCTTCGTGCATTGTGTGTGTCACACATACTATGCTGTACGGCATGATGTATAGTGTATGGAGCCCTTAAAGGTTACATACCTATGTACCTATTAGTTAAAATTTATAAAAAACCAAAAATTATAACAACGTTGCCTAAAATCCGACAACGTTACCTAAAATCCCCACTATGGCCGTATTACCCAAATACGTCGAATCCATATCTTCAGCAAATAATGCCATATCTTCAAGCAAATAATAACCACAAAACAAAATTGAAAATTTATTAAATTAGTCCACGTATTTTTAGTTTCGATTGGAAATTTCAAATTTCCAGAATGTTTTGTTTTTGTTTTCAAAAAAAAAAAAAAAAAAAAATGAAAAATACGTTCTGTCAAAGTTGAAATTGTTCAACTTGAAATTTTGTACGTTCGACGTATTTCGGTAACATTCATTCTACTTTTGTGGTGAAAAACGTCGAACGAGCTAGTTGAATTTTAGGTAAGGCTGTAAAACAAAAAATTAAGAAATTGAAATAAATACCGAAAAAACTTTATTTCTAATTTGCCTACTATCACCAAGATATCCCATAGAAAATCGGGAATTCGGAAATTCTTCATGAAAATTATAGATATTTGGATATACTCCACTAAAAATCGTATTCCTAAGTAACGTTAATTTTTATTAAATAGTATATTATATATTGTTCGGTTTTATCGTCAAAATCGTATAAAATCCATTATACTTAAAGTTCCTTTTTCACAATTAATACTTTGTGGACCCACCGAAAATACAATGGGTTTTTGTCTTCGGTAAGACAATTTATTTTCAAACACATCTATATTTGGAACTATTAACTACACGTGAAGGGATAACATGAAATATTAGTTCTGTTCCAGAACCTTAAAAAATCTACTCATTTTACAAGTTTTGCAACTTTTTACTCGGAAATCGTTCCTCAACCCACAAAACTGGTAAAACATTGAATCAAATTTAAGAGAGCACAAAACAAAATGGCGTTCTCTTTGTAAACTTTTTACTAGAGAAATTTGAACGAGTAAAAATGGTAAACGGGAATGCCAACTTCTGATTGGTTGTTATGTTGATTTTGAAGTGCATATTGCCATATAATTTTGGCATATTTACTAGATTTGTGTTCCCGAACTTTTCAAATTATTTTGTACTCTGAGAGCCATTTTGAAATGTTTCTCTTTTACTAGCTTTACTATTAAATAAGTACTGGAACAGACCAATTATTACATACACTGTCTACATTATACATGAAATTACAACTAAATGCAACCAGAATTAAAATCATTTTTTGAAA